CATCCCTCAATACCTCCAAGGCAGTTCCAGCTTTCTGAAGAATACTGAAACACAAAATTGTAACGACGTTAAAGATGGGAGAATAATAACAATGGAAAAATTAAAAACACTGTGATGATGCACTTCTTTTCACCATATTAAGGCATTACATTTTTATGAATTAGTACAAACTATACCTTGAGTCAGAAACAACCTGGGTCTGTGCTTTTGGCACATTTCTTTCACTCTGAGGAGCAGATGGTTTCTTGTCAGGTGGACGATGCTGAGTCTCGTTCACTGTGGGCTGAGGGTTTGGGACGTCATGAGGCCTCTGAGGGAATTGCACTCCTGCATTCTGAAAAAAATATTTAATATTGCCTAAAGTAAAACAGAAATAATAAATAAGAGAACAATACTGTAAGCTATTGCACTCTGTCTGACTAAGAATCTCGTACAATTATTGCAAGCAAGTCAGTAAAATAAGTGCCTAAAAAACAGCAAATTGAGGGTAACAACCCCAAAATCTTGAACAAACTTGGTGCATTAGCTTTACATACCGAGGAATTCACATGAATGGAAAACAATGCACCAGAGCAACTTTTCCATCTCATTGAGTGAGTGTTTTACAAACACTCCCTAAAACCTCATATTGAATCTACATCAGTTGCAGGTGAAGTACTACAGTTCAATTGAGTAGTTGTTTGTCGTAAGAATAAAACAGCGACATGGACGATAAACTGTATTAACTGAAAACACACATGCACATAGCAGTACAAAAAATAGTCTTTTGGGAACCTTCTGTATGGTGAACACCAACATGAGCTTCAGGCATAATTATAGGTCTAATTACCCAAAATAACAACACCAAATTAAAGAATATGCCTCCTCATATACAAATTGCACCTACTGATAGGTTTATTTTTAAAGTAGAGATGAGACTCAAGAGGATATTTGTAACTTTTATAAGATAACTAGATGATTTTTAAGTAGGACCTCAATAAGAGTTTTATTAACACTTTAAATTAATTTGAAGGCGCAAAAAAAATAAATAAAATTAAATTCACAGTTTCAGCAAGCGATGCTTACCACCAATTCATAATATGCAGAATAATATTGAGGAAACCTCCCAGAAGCTCCACCTACTGATGTTTGAGCCGCATCTAAGAGCAGAAAAATCTTTTCACGAACGGGAAGGTCCGACTGTAAAAGGGAGGAGATAACGTAAATGCCTTCAACAAAACTATAACGAAGAAACAGTCAAAGGTGCCCACCTTTTTCTTGACTATTTTCACAAGTATGGGTAAAACTCCTGCATCTATAACTTGCTTATGCACTGGATCCCCAATATTATTTATCAACATCTCCAGCAACTGTTAATGTAATGGTGTTAAATCAATTATGGAAATCGTGTTATCATTATGGTTATCCAGAAAAGAGAACATCTTTAACAGTTTTAACTTATAGTCCAAACTGTACAAACTTACCATTACAGCAAAGAGCTGAGTGTTCGAGCTTTTGCTTCCCAGACGTTTTTTAATGGCTTTGACAATATCTTTAGCTTGTCTGCGCAATTCAAACAGAGAGTACATGTGAATGAACTGCCTATATATCATAATGCCTGCCATATCTAGAAAAAGTAGTGAGAAATTACTCAATTCTGATCTGCTGGACTGATGGTATAATAAAAAAAAGGTGAAATATGAGCAAATGTGAAGTTTTGTGTTTAGAATGCAAACGAACTTACCAATTTAGTTTTGAATCTTAAAGATTACATTTAGGTAAAATATAGACCAAGAACAAGAAACATAGCTTCGCAAGACCTTCAATGTCAATATGAAATTAAGATAATAAAATGACACGACAAAGAGCATTGTATATCAACAAAAATAGAGTAACAAAATATACCCATGATCGCGCGCGACTATTTCACAAATCTCGATGTTTTTTGTCCAGTCCATTTCAGTGAGTTTTTCACTCGTAGCAGAACTAACAAGGTCTGAAGCCATATGTATGATCCCTGCTGCAATAATTAACAGCAAAACATCATGATGCAGGAGAGATAGAAAAGACTTTTTCTAACTAACAGAAAGAAAAAGAACACTCAACGCTAACAATACTTGTTATAAACTCACCACCCTAACTTCTCCATCAACACATGAATTTTCTCACATACTGAACGAACAAAGCATGAAAATTTACGTGGGACATGTTACTCCACCTCCAATCTCTTAAATTCAACTAAATGCATAGACAAGTATCTCTTTACTTAACCGCTAAAGAAGTAATTAGCTGTAAAAAGGTTGAGCTCATGCTACATAAACAAACATTTTGTCTCGTTAAAAAGGTGCAGATAGCAATAGAGCCGCCTTGCATAGATATGATGAATGAGAAGTAACTGCAACAAGTGAATACAGTTAGCAGGAAAGCATTTTCTGTTCCTTTCTTCTTCATTCCCTAATAGATGAAAAGAGATTACTAAACCAACTCTCATATTCTAATCAAATCTGGTCCAGTCGGAAAAATGGTGTTTTCCACCCAAAGTATACACTTGCTACGTTTAAACAAACGACCTAATGGCATGAGGGACTCGAAATGAGTTCCACCAATCAAGCTGTTAGATAATTTAAATATCAGTTGAGAGAATCCAAACACTCCAGAAGAACATTCAGAAAGCCAGGAAATGAACTTAAGCCCTATGCTCAAATTCAAAACCATTTTGGCCAAAAATAGATGAAACATACATTTTGTGTGTGTATGTGTGTGTGTGTGTGTGTGTGTGTGTGTGAGAGAGAGAGAGAGAGAGAGAGAGAGAGAGAGAGAGAGAGAGAGAGTGCGTTTTAAGTATCCATTGACTGGAAATGTTCACTGCCATCACATTCTCAAGCAAATGCTAAGTTGAAATCCTCATAATAATTTAACTATCATCTCAATTATTTCTTCTTCACCAATCCATCAACGCAAGCACACAACAAACTTATTTCTTGAAAAAAAAAAAAAAATCTAATCTTTCCAAATTGAACCCCTTTTGATTACAGATCTCATGTATGACACAAAAAATGCGATCCCAACCGATTCACAAAGCTCTTGAGCTCTTCACAAACGAAAGATCAAAGGAAACAAACCTATGCACTTGCCCACAATTAAACATAACAAGAGTGGAACAACTTCCAGACAATTAATCAAAAAAAAACATGGAAAAAATCAAACAATTCAAGCAGAAGCACACAAAACAAACATAAAAAACACACACCTGAAGGGAACCTGGGAAGAGCGAAGACCAGAAGCCACTCTACAACTTTCCAATTCGTATGTTTGTTATGTGTATAGCTGTAAAATAATTGATGAACACGTATATATATACATACACACAACTGTCTATAAATCAATCAGTACAGAGAGGAGAGAGAAAATAAAGATTCTCTGCTAAATATAAATATATGTTAGGCTTTGTCTGAGCCTTTGAGGAGGGAGCCTTTATATTCTTTCCATATTTTAGCTTTTTTACAACTATTAATTTAGTGTATTTTTAAATATAATAAGAAAAAAAAAAAAGAAAAAAAAAACTATTATTGAGAATCTGTGTTTGGAAATTTTGTTCTGGAGAGCGTGCCTGTGTTTTTTCCTTTTTCGCTTGTGAGCAAAAGAGACGTGAAGGAGTGAAAGAAATGGACGTGGAGAGTTAAAGGCGCTGATAGCTGTTGTTAGCCGATAGGGCTGAGCATGGATCTGTACGATTCAGAGATCGACAAATTTATAGAACCATATTAAAATTTGGAGATCGTTAAATTCGATCTTCGGATTCGTACCAAAAAATCGGGACGGTTTCGGTTCGGTATTCAGAACTATCGGAATGGTTCGGTTCGGTTCGGTATTTGGGACTATCTAGTTATATATTAATTTTTATATGCTTTAGAAAAAAAAATCCAACATTCATAAACACTTCATCATATTAAGTAGTTTAAATAAATAAAAAAAAGTTAATTGTAGATCAAGTGCTATTAAGTACTAAGACAACATTATTCAAGAGTTCACATCTCATAATTCTAAATACAAGTCCCATAATTCACAAACCACAATTACATCATCAAGTAAAAGTTCAAAATGACAAAAAATAAGTGTATGGTTTCATACAAGTCCCAACGAGTTATCAAACAAAAAACAATAACGCGAACTTTCATATTTTTCGTGAAACAAGAACCCCATACAA